TTCATTTTTTTATTTTTGTTTGCTTTCGTTTTATCTTTTCATAATTTTCTTTTTTGTTTCTTTTAATAATTAATTTATTTTAGTTTTTGTAAAATTTAATTTCAACACCTAAATTAGTATTTAGGAATACAACACTGCCACATTAATTTGGACAGCTAAATAAAATAGTTTAATATTTTATTGATTTGAAAAAGGTATTAAATTAAATGTTTTGCTGCTGCTTTAATTACCTTAGTGCATCTAAACACTTTACAAAAATGTGGTTTCTGCATCAATATTATTTATGATTTATTTTCTACAACTTGAACATTTTAGTTTTAAAGTTTGAAAACTTTTGATGTTTGCTTTTAATTCAATTTGAATTTGAATCGGTTTTGAATTAACGCGAGATTATCAACAGTAATTGAGGTGACGTGGCATCATTAGCAGGGATTACTGTAGTCTAATTATCCGGGCGTCACATGCTCATAAGGGTAGTGTTGGGGATATAACTATTAGGTATGACCCTCCCGGAGGGGGCCGGGTTATACCTACGGCGATTCATGAAGCCCAAGACGACACTGGAAGATGGCGGTTCAGTTAAGGGCCCAAGGCCCAAAGGCGACTTACAGCCCGTAGAGATAAACCGCCATATGTATGTAACTTGTATTGTAAGGCAAGAATAGAGAGAGACCGAGCCGGACACTGTTTATGAGCCGGCTGGGACTCTGTGAGCCGCTGGGTGTCGACCTCTGTATATAAAGGGACGACCTGGCGACGGTTCAAGGCAAGTAACATCAGATCGAGAGCTAGGTCAAGCAATTTCGCTCCCTGGTAATCGAGACATAAGCTATCCCAACTCAAACTGGATTAAGCCATTACCAAACCAGTATAAATTCCCGTGTCCTTTGTCCCGTTTTAACCCTTTTAAGATTTCTAGTTGAGATGGCTTCATGACTAAGTCCTTTCACACTAGTAGAAAAAGGACCTAATGTGAGACACATTAGTCCCGGTTCGATTTTGGCCCGGTATTAATAGTACCATTAGTGCCGGTTCGAACGGCTATGCGTTAATGCCGGTTCGTTTTGAACCTTTACTATCGGTTCGTGCCACGAACCGGTACTAAAGGAGTGGTGGCAGGCTGGCGTCAGGCTGGGGCCCCGCGATCACCTTTAGTACCGGTTCGTGGCACAAACTGGTACTAAAGGGCTAACCTTTAATACCGGTTCGTGCCACGAGCCGATACTAAAGGGGTTTGACCTATAGTACCGGTTCGTGGCATAAACCGGTATTAAATGGCAATTTTCAAACTCTACCCCCCGGTGTATCGTCATTTCAGTTTTGAAAAATACAAAAGAAAATGATAAAAATTCAAAAAATAAAATTCTTCGGGATGTAGTTATATTACTACATCTACTAGTTAGGAAAATTTAAAAACTTAAATTTGGACATGTTTTGCAAAAAGTGTAGGGAAATTGTAAAACGGCTATAACTTCTGCATACGATGTCAGAAAAAAACATATAATATATCAAAAAAATCAGCACGAAAATCCACATCCGATTTTGACGGCATATGGCCTGTTTGCAATTTTTTAGAATCCTCAAATTCCAAAAGGAGAAAAAGATATGCTCAAATTTAAGTTTTTTTTTAAGTTTGGTTAAATCTGGTCAAACTATGGTCAAACTACTTATTCAAGAAGTATTAATGTTACTACATACTTATTCAAGAATATTAGTGTTACTAAATAATTATTTCAATTTTTTGAATTTTGGTCAACTATGGTCAAACTATGGTCAAACTATGGTCAAACTTATTCACGAAATATTAGTGTTACTAAATAATCACTGTTTTTTAGAATAATAGTTTCAAACTCAAACGGTGAAATGTGTGAATAATTTTTCGTGGGCCGGATGACTAAGAGTCGTCACGGCAAGCTTCGAAGGGCTCAAGGGATACGCCGTGGGCCGGATGACTAAGAGTCGTCACGGCAAGCTCTACATCGACGACGCATGCTGGGGCCCCGACGCCGGCTCAATTGAGCACGGGTACCGGGTCCCCTTCGGCGGAATCCATGTCTTCATCGGCAAGATCGACGAGCCGGGCCTTGAGCCGGACATCTGCACCGACATCGTTGAGACGGCTCAACGTGTGAGACCCGCCCGGGCTCAGCCTGCCGTGAAGCGTGCCTTCATGGGATGCATCCATGGAGGGGAACTCTCTGAAGGATCTGTGTCTGGCGGTGAGACAGTCATCTACTCTGATGATGAGTCGTCCACGGGTGAGACAGATTCATTCTATCAACTGCAAGACGGCGGGCTTGGGGGCTGTTTTGATGGCAGCAGTATTCCGGACCTCTTTGCGCCGCCGAGCAGAGTTGGGATCTTCATGGCTGGCACACAACCCATTCAAAACTCTACGGCTGCGCAGTGATAACCTTCGGGTCAGCGGCAACAGGGGTAGGAGGCCCTGTGCGTCCACCGGCTCAGGTTCTGATGGATTTGATGGATAAGATGACAGCTCTATTAACCGCCGTGGTCAACCCGGCGGATCAAGCTCAACATGATGCGGAAGTGGCGCAGTTAAAGCAGGATATAGTGCAAGCTAAGGAAGACCTGGCGGCGGAAGACGTCAGGATGACCGCAGAGCGGGCGGCTCTGGATGCTCAAGCTCAGCGGATTTAGTCGCAGGCTTTCCAGCTCACGATGGATCAGAATGCGTCAAATGAGGTGATGAGGAGAAGGTACCAGAAGACTCAATCCCGTCTGCCTCCGGTTTATGATCCTCGAAACCTCCTCCGTACACCCGGTGCGGGGCCCAGTAACCCGCCGGAGGTAAACCGGGTTGCAACTCCCGGGGCTGGGACGCCGGTTCAGCCACGGGTGATGGAACCTCATCGTCTGAATACTACTCCACCTCATTATGTACCAACACCACCGGGTCATTATTCTAACCCTTTGGAGAACATGATCGCCGCGGCGGCAGATTGGCGACTCTCCCGATGGATGGCGACTCTCCGACGGCGGTTGAAATACGAAGGGTCAGAGAGCTTCTTCAGACGACTTTGGCACAGCAGGAGGCGTACTCTTACAGCCGAGACATGATTCATTCGACACCTCGCCCAAGCCGGAGCCCGAGTTATAGTAGACACATGGATTCAGCGGCCGTTTCAAGCAACGCCCGGCGCCGTGACCAGCCGTGCGGGCATGAACCGGCGCATGTTGGAGTTCCTAACTTAGTTGATCAGGACAGAATACATCAAGAGGCTGAGCGGGCGGCTCAGCAGGCGGTTGAGTAGGCGGCTCAGCGGGCGGCTTATCAGTCTTTTCCGGTTTATCCTACACTTTTCCGGTTTATGCATACACGAAAACAGAGTGAAAAACAATTCCCTCACGCCGCGTCAGTGCCAAATGTCGGGGACAGGCCGTGGAGGGAGGAAAGCGAGCTGCCCGTGAGCCTCCATTTTCATGGCGCCGGCCGAGCCTTCATTTCATCACCCAAATGGACACGCACCACATGAAGCAATCGTTCTAACCATCTCCAAAGGGGATGAGCCCTACCGATGGGGATACCAAAGTGAAACCTAATAATTGTTTGTATACAGAGATTATATGGTCCCCTAAAATTTGCTCTAAGAATATATATTTTTATGAGAAGTTTGCAAGTAATAATGCTCACATACTAGAAGAATCGTCTATATCACAATTGTCTCTCTCTTTTTGTAAAAGACTAGTTTTTTTTGCCGAACATGAGATCCTTATGCAACGTCTTTTTGTAAAAGACTAGTTTTTTTTTGCTGAACATGAGATCCTTATGCAACGTCTCTTCACGTACATACACCATCACGTGCATGGACCGCGTGGATGTGCCCTCCTCAACACGTCGATGCAATCATTATATTTCCGTTATATCAAAATTAGTGTTTTCTAACTTCATGGAATGTTATATCTCCATATAATGTTCTCGTCTGGTTTTTGGCGATACAAGATGAGAGCATGTACATACACCATCACACGCATGCACTTTGCGGACCCCCCCCCCCATACACACACACACGCACACGCACACCCTTCACTATTTTCAACACCCCCAACCCTTCAGTTAAGGTTAACGATATGATGTAACTATCATTTGTAGACTATTTCAGAATTAATGCTTTCTAATCATTCTTTGTGGAACACTATATCATCAAGCAATGTTTCCTTCTGTTTTTGCAATTACAAAATGCAAACCCGTGCATACACCTTCATGCAATGCGCCCCCGTCAACGAGGGAGTTCAAACTTCTATCTTAAAACCGTACTGAATTAATGATTTCTAAGCATACCATAGAAAGAAACAAGCTAAATTAATAGAAATATTACGAAACTAGTTAATATCATGAAACGGAACACAAACGTCTACTAAAATCACACATTTACATATTTCTTTGCTAAACTTGAATTTTTTTGTAACCTGTTTTTTTTCATAAAAAACATCAAATGATATTTGAAAATCAGCCAATGCTCTGCAACGGGCCAGTAATACTCTGCGAGGGGCTCCAGAATTCAAAATCCAGTTTGTTGTTGCTTTTCGTTGGGAGCGAGCTTTATCGGCTGGTTAGTTACGATCCTCCGCCTCGCATCCGATCCCCGCCGTCGATCCCCGATCTCGCGGCCCGCGACCGGCGGAAACCCCGGGCCGCCACCTGGCCGCCCCTCCCCCCTCCCGCAAGGCTGACACACGCCTGCGACGCAACAGCCTTTTCTGCACCGAGTTTCCGTTCCTTCCCTTCTCCTTCTGTCATCTGTGCAGCCCACCACCGCCACCTCCACCTCCTCCACCTCCACCTCCACTTCCCCCAACCGCCTCTCTCTCGCCGCCTCGCGTGGTAGCTTCTCTCCTCCGCCGACCCCGTGATGCTCTGACGCCGCCGTCGGGAGCCCCGCCCGCTGGTCGAAGCGGAGGAAGGGAGGCGACTCGGGCGAGAGGAGGAGGGGACAAGGCCGGGAGAGGGGAGGCGGAGCGGCGGCAGGGGGAGGAAGATGTTCGACGGCCTCATCAACTCCAAGTTCTACAACCGATGGTACGAGATGGGATTCGCTGCTAGCTAGTTTCGCCTGTGTTCGCCGGGTTCCGGCGAGCTCGTCGGAGTCCTCGGGGCGGGGTTGCTGCTCAGATGGGCGCTTCCTTCATCTTATTTTCGAATCCGGTGTCTCCAGAGGCTGCTCTGTTGCTTGGTTCCTAGGTTGCACGACTCCAATCCGCGCGGCGTAATGTTCGGGTTTTTGTTCTGTTCGTGCTTCCGAACTCGTCGGGTTCGTGGCCAGTTTCCTCCGCATTTGGAGGCTGTTTTCCCCGGCCGATTCTCTGCTTTGTTTTACAAGGAAAAATATCATGTGTCGCGTCGAATTTGGGTTCTACCTCCAGTTACATTTCCGGGCAATTCAGTTGCGTTAATTTCGTTGCTGTTTGTCCAATAAGAGCATCCTGTGATGCCGGATTATTTGGCTGACCGAGTGCTGGGTTTCTGAACAATGGATGCAGCAAGCACGCCTTCAAATGCATCCGGACGCGGCTGGCCGTCATACGGCGGAAGAAGCAGGCCATGATCGGGTTCCTCAAGAAGGACGTTGCCGACCTCCTCGCCAACGGCCTCGACATCCATGCCTTCGGACGGGTAAGATGTTTTCTCTTGGTAGTTCTCTCCTGCGCAGCATTTCACTGCTGAAGTACATTGCTCAGGATTGCTACGAATTGTTCTGGTTGAAGCCGAATCAGAGAATGATTTTGCCCCTGGCCCCCTTTCTCCACAGGAAAAGTTGGCAAAAGTTGTACTGATTGGTGGTCAAGTTCTAGTCAGTTTACTATAGTAAAAATCTGAGACTCTGATGACTGAACATTGTAGTTCTGTTTCCTGTCTCTGCTTCCAGATGGATGCGCTGATAATGGAGATGAACCATGCTTCGTGCTACAACATGATTGAGCAATACTGCGATTTCCTTGGAAAACAACTCAACAGCCTGCAGAAACAGAGGTATATCTATCTGGTTAACTCAACTCTGTACCCTTAGTTTTGTTTTCCTTGTGGGTCGAAACAGTAGGAAAGGATGTCCCACTATTTCTGTGGTCAACGGGAAGCAAAGTTTGTTAATGGCCAAGAGAGTTATGCACCCCAACTCTTTTAGCGGGACCCCTGTGCGGCATTTTATTATGGAATCGATTTAGAAGGACCGTGACATCCATGGTATAGGATTCTTCTGATGGTCTAGTTTTTCTTGGGTAATGGAAGACCGGTAGCCTCTGCATGAAGTGACACACATCCAGCTGATGGTCTGGTTTACTCTATACAAAAACCTTTCTGATTTGGACCTTCAGTTGGTGAATATAAATAGTAAAGGCCAATTGAACTTTTTTTTCGTTTCAAGAAAGGCCAATTAACCATTATTAGTATGCCTGTGACCGGAATGACTGTGCACACGACACTTTTCTGCCCGATAGTGCACACGACACTCTAATCAATGGTTGTCAGCCGCATACATACTCTGATGGATGGCTACTACAGCTTGTCGTTCAACCATCGGGCATAAACGTCGTGCACCAAGCAGTGCTCGCCTGTGATTGCTTTAGGATAAAATCAGAGTTTTAAGTCTTTTTTTGCGATGAAACAGAGTGTTAATCCATAATACATATCTCTTTGATTCTTTTTATGCTCTAGTTTTAGTGTTATCACAAGGATTTTTTTTGGAGCTTCAGTTAATGAATATAACCGTTAACAGTATCTTAGGGGTGCAAGCAAACAGGTAGTTTAATTATCTTCATGGTGCAATTCATCATGACACTTGTTCATTTTTGCATCAACAGGGATTGCCCCCAGGAAGCCATGGAGGCCGTGTCAACTCTAATTTTTGCTACTGCTCGGTTCCCAGACTTGCCTGAACTGTGCGACTTAAGGCATATATTCACAGAAAGATATGGCGGTTCCCTTGAGCCTTTTGTTAGCCTGGAGGTGCGAGAGATGCTCCAATAATTTATTGTCGTTAAACTGCTTCGTAGGGTTCTACTTAACGTCATTAATGTTTCTTGTACCTGCAGTTTATCCGGAAACTTGAGTCTGAATTATTTACAAATGAGGAAAAGTTTCAAGTAATGCAAAGTATTGCTGAAGAATCCTCAGTTGGTTTTGACATGAGGGCATTGGAAATCAAGTTATTGGCTGCACGGGAGTCTGAAGATGTATGTTTACATGAACTTGCGTAAATGAATGTACTACTTGAACAGTGACACGTGTCTGTTAACTTGGCATCTTGGATTTTGTATTTCAGGATTTTCTCGAAAAGGATTCAATGAAAAAGGGTGAACTGGCAGTGCCTTTGCCCATCAAGCAGAAGGACGATGGACAGTCAAATGATAATACTGGAAGGAAGAATTCTGATAAATCTCATGGTAAGGAACAATTGGAGAAATCAGTTTCTCCTTTGGACTTGAAAAGAGAGAACACTCAAAAAGATGATAATATCAGAAGGCGGCATGCTGACAAAGTTGATGGTAAGGAACATTTGGAGAAATCAGTATCTCCTCTGCAAACGGAAAGAGAGGAGGCTCAAAAGCGAGTTCAGAAACTGAAGAAAAAAGATGTCCGCCCTTCCGAGAAGGAGCTCATGGAAGCTGTCGAGCTAGATATCAATGGCCTACCGAAACATGGATCTGGTTCGGTGAAATTTCCTGAGGCAGAAAGCAACAGAATAGTTTCACCAATTGTGAAGCCCAAAGAAACAAAGAAAGAACATGGTGTAGAAAAAGAGAATAACAGGGGGCTTGGCTATCACCACCGATCACCCATACCTGGCCGTCCTGATTATACCAAAAGACATGCAAACTTAGGGTGCAAAGCTCTTGGCCTGCAGAATCAAGGACCTACTTCACTGAATCCTTCAAGTGGTAAAACTACAAACAGGCCCCCTCCTATTTCCAATCCGAATGGAGCGAAGGGAAGGGATTGTAATGAAAAAGAAGAGGGCAACAGTTGCTTGCGTGGCAGACCACAGCACTTGGAAGATCTCGGACACACGGTGCAAAATGGACAGCGAGCACCACACAGGGTGGCTAATGTGCAACCTTCTTATGTCAAACCTAAACTTGGCATGCAGCCTGTGAACGATGATCCTGCAAAACCAATTGACAGCAACTGCAATATGAGTGAAAGGACAGATCGCTTGTCTCACAAAGATGTGCTTCGGCCTGTTTCTGTTAGAAGGAGGCCAGCAGCACCTGCTTTTGATGAGGCACCTAACGGTGAAAAGGTCACAAGCCAAAAGGGCAACAGTCACATGATACAACCAAGCAAACACAAGGGTGCTACCGGTGGCTATGACTGGAAGGGCAATGGTGTTGGTAATGGCAGGAATGTTGAGAGAACTCCTAGTGGTCGACCAAGTCACTCAGGCATGAGAAACGGGGTTCTGTATGACGATGACTACGATGGATCCATGCAGCAGCCTAAAGCAGGTGAAGCTGAGACTGCTATTGACTTTGGTAATCTGTTGCCTCGGGCTGCAAACGGTCATCATCAACTCAATAGCAGGAACACTGATGTGCACGGCGGAGATCCTGATGAGGAGGAGAGGATGATGGACAAGCTTCTGATGCATTATAGCAAGAAAGGTTCAGGTACAGATGAAACCGAAACAACAGTAGAAACCAGCAAAACTGCTAACTGTCATGGAGCCCAAACACATTATCAGCAAAACGGTTCTGTGCACACTCCAGGAAGAGCAGTCTCGCTACCGCCAGAGTCCATGAGCCCGGGTGAAGCTGCCAAGGTTCCTGCTCGGTCCACCTCAATGCGGTCAGACTGTCCTGGGGGTGTGCGCGTGCACCCAAAGATGCCGGACTTTGAGGAACTGGCTGCCCGGGTCATGGCCCTGAGGAATGCTTGAGGAGGAGGCACAAAGACTGAATATATTTGGCCTGTGTATACTTTCAGAATTGGAGCTTTCTGACAGTTTCGTCATTGCGAGTTGGAGCTCACACCTGCTGTATTTCTTCTTTTTTCCAACAATTGGTGTATTTTTTCCAGCTTGAGTTATCACTGCTGGAGTGGGTGGTGCTTGTCTAGATAGTGGAATTGGTACAGGGGTCAACAGGATACAGGTGATAGGATTTCGGTTTCGTTCTTTTGGTTCAGTCGATAGCACATTGGTTTTTGATGCATACAGATACACTGCAGACTGCAGTTCCAGATTTTTTTCATTGCTCCATCATGTACTAGTACTTCAGAATTTTTTGATATATGTGTACATTTTGATTATGAAGCCATAGAGATTTTCTCTTCACCTTTATTATTTCTCCAAATTATCATGATTCTGTATCATGCTTTTAAAATGTCGTTCATGGGAACAGAACATTCTCCAGATTCCGAACTTTTCGTTATCGCTCGGGCGACTCGGGCGGGATCTCGATCCCTAGCCGCCGCCGGTCCCCTCCCCTCCCTTCCTCCCCTCCCTCCGCCGCCGCCGAAGGACGCCGCCGGCGATGGCCCGGGGCTGACGGCGGTGGCGGGGGTCCTCCCTCTTGCCTGCGCCGTGGGGGTGGTGCGGCGCCCCGCGGCATGGGTGGCGCGGCCGATCTGGCCTGGCGGCGCGGCGGCTGCCTCGGCCAAGGGCCGATCTGGCCTGGCGGCGCGGCGGTCCTGCCTTCCGGCGGCGGCGCGGCGGCTGCCTTGGCCAGGGGCGGCGATGGTGGGGTGCGGCAGCCGGTTCTGCCTCGGGCTGCGTGGCGGCGTTCGGCGGCGGCGGCCGGGTCTGCGGCGACACACCATCTGACCTCGGATCGGCGGTGGCGGCATGGAGGGCCTGGTGGTTGGGTCGGCACCATGCGGGTTGTGCCCTCCGGACAGATCTGATCTGGCCGGTGCGGCCTGCTCGTTGTGCGGCGGCTCAGATCGGCGGCGACCTGTGCACACATTACGTGATGGAGGTTCTTCGAGCGGATCCGGGTGAAAACCTTGTGCTCGGCTTCATGCCATGGCCGGCGTTGGTGACACCCTGTTGTGTCATTACCTTCTTGAAGGCATCGTCGTGGAGAAGCTCTAGACCTCTATCCGCTACCTCCGGGGGAAACCTTAGATCAGTTGATCGGATGACGGCGGCGCGTTGGTGTCGTTTCCTCCTTGGGGGCGTCATTCTTGGAGGCGTACACGGGATCGAGGGACCAGCGGGCGCCTTTTTGGTGGAGCGGTGCTTCATCCTTCACATTGATGACGGCGGATCTCGGCGGCATGGTGCGGTGGAGACTCGGCGCCCAATGCGCGGTGATGGACTCGCGCAGGTGGAGGTAGTTGTCTGGCGTCAAGGTGGCGTCGATGACGGAATGACCTCACAAGGTAGAAGCCTCAATATCTGCTCTGAAGACGGACATGTGGAAGATGGCGGCGACGACACATGTGAGTGCGTCAGACCAGTTTATGCCCCAGACCCAGTATGTGGCTCGGATGGGGCTTCTGGCTGTGGATGATAGGATTAGGTGAGTAGTCTGGGTATGAGGCCCAGGTAGCACCCCTGCATCATTTGGATAGGAGTAGTGGCATATGTTGTCAAGATGGCGGATTTAGGCATATTGTTGTAATACTTTGTAAGGTCCTCGAGGATAATCAATAAGGTGGCCGTATGCATCTCCCAGATGCAGAGGCCGGGGGTCATCCTCCTTTTCAAAAAAAAAAATCAATTCTGCCAAATAACATAATTTCACTTCAGTCCTCCTCACCACGCTGACAGGTGACACCTACGAACTGGGGGCTCCGGACCACAATGTGGTGGCGACCTAGCAGAGGCAGCTCACCACACTGACGACGAGACGAGCGATGCAGTCCTCGGCGCCGCCGTCGTCCCTGACGAGACGCCGCAGCGCCCGGTTCCTCGGGAGCACGCCGGCGCGGTGCAGCACCGTGGCCGCCGCCTCCGCCGGCCGGCCCTCCAGGAACGGCCCCAGGAACCGCGCCGCCGGCCTCAGGAACAGCGGCAGCAGAGACTGCAAGACATGCCAAGAACTGTATGTAAACGGCATGCATCGATCGAACGAGGCACAGACAGACAGAAGATGAGTGCGTGCTGGTCTGACGCGCAGGGTGACGTACCATTGGGCTATAGGGACGGCGCGGCGCCTGGCCGGCTTTGGTTGCTCGATGCGACGGCCGCCGGCGTCAAGTCAACTGGCGGTGGCAATCGGCAATGGCGATGACCGGCGCGGGAGCAAGTGCTCTGGTTGCCCGTGCGTGCGTGCGTCGCGACCTTGGATGGAGAAGCAGGAGCCTTTTGGGACGTGTGATCGATGGGCAGGTGTGCAAGCAAGCGTGCGTGCATGAGGCATGGGATTCAGACCGGGCGACGACGAAAACAGTTGGCGCGCGGCGGCACCTGCCGTGCGCCCATCGTTTGGCCGCCTGGCAGTAGGCGCCACCCGCCGTGGAAATCCCAACGCCGCCGTCCGCATGGGCCTATCTCGGCCGCATGAGCCAGCCGTGCCTCTGTTGCTTCTGGTCCGCGTGGCGCTCTCTGCCGTGCCTTTTTGATGGAGCACTGCGCCTGTTGGGACACCTGTGTGCTTTGCTTCCTGCAATCTTGCCGTCAGCAAAGCTACCAAGAGAGAGTTGGGACACATGATCAGTGCTCAGATAGCAGTATGTTCGCCCTGGATCGATTGATTGTTGCCGTCCACAAGCAAAGTCTCGCGTGCGTCTGCGTGCATGCAGCGTGTCGTGTTTAAGTGGTGAACAGTTTAGTGACCAGCGCCGGCAAGCAAGGGATAAGTAAAAGGTGAAAAAGCAATCGCTCAGGGTGCAGAAATCCTCGAAAGAACACAAAAGAAATGAAAATCTTTTATATTTATTAAAGAAAATAAATGAAATCTGCGTACGGACATCGTCGAGCATGTTTGCATGCCAGAGATACGCACTATCACGAGCACGCAAGGAGCAAAATTCAAACCTTTTTGCTATTTTATTTGTTCTCCTCTTCTTGCTTGCTGAGCGCATATATCCATCCATTTTTTTGCGCATCGCATATGTCCATCCTTAGGGCAGCCCCAACCGGTTAGAGGAGTAAAAATAAAACCCCGGTTTTACTCCTCTAACCGGGACCTAGCCGATCTTCAATCGGCTTTAGCGGAGGATAAATTATCCTCAGCCACGCCTCACCTCCCTATTTTCACTCCACCGCTCGGCAACTGAGTAAAAAAAAGAGCCACTTCGCCTCCTCTGCCTCTCTCCTCCCAATCCCCGCCGCCGGCGACTCCCCCAGCCGTTCCCCAACGCCCCACCTTCCAATGGCTAGATCCCACATTGCCGGTGCTCCCCGCTGCCGATCCGCAACATGGATCCGCGCCGCCACGCTCACAGTTCATCTTCAGTTGGCGCGTCCTCAAGTGCCGCCGCCCCTCCGATGCAGCCACCGCCCACTGCATCGCCGACTTCCCCGAGCACCCTCCACTGTGGGAGCCGCAGAGGAAATACCTCGGCCTCCGCCAGCGAGCGTGGGGGACTTGGGTTGCGGAGATCACCGACCGCGAGACCCATACCAAAAAGTGGATCGGGTCATTCCACATGGCGGAGCTCGCCCCACTCGAATACGACAGGTGGCAAGTACGGCTCCACGGCGTGGTGCCGCGCCTCAACTTTTCGTTTGGGATGGCACCGGTCCACCTCGTCCCGTCGACACCGGGTGTGGTGACCTCGACGATGGCTCGGGAAGACCGGGAAGCGAGGGAGTGCCTCGCGGCGGAGGCCGCCGGCAAGGAGTACATGGCGGACCTCCGTCGCCAGTACCCCGAGCTCGTGGAGACGGAGCGGGCCATCTTCATGGAGCGGGTGGTCGACGGCGAGGTCATCGTCATCTCCGATGATGAGGAGCAAGGCGGCGACACAGAGAAGGATTTCGACGCCAAGGATTGGCGGCACATCTTCCCCGACTCCGGCGACGACGACACCGGTCCAGATCCAATGGACGATGGCATGTCGAGGCAAAATTGGCGCGACCTCTACTATGGCAAGGATGATGATGATGATGACTAGTCTAGTTTAGGGTTTAGTGTAGTTTAAGTTTGAAATTATGTTTAAAGTTTGGTTGTCAAGACGTGTTCGACTAGGTTGAACTTATGTTTAAATTTAGGCAAATTTTGGTTGAAACTAGGTTGAACTTATGTATATTTGAATTTTTTACTCCGTTATATGGACGCATCTAGCTGGCGGCTGGCTGCCCACTAGCCCTCCGTGCTGGCCGGCCGAAAAAGATAAGTTTTTGTCTCCCTGACTCATATTAGGAAAAATAAACATGTGTGGACATATGTGAAGAGGATAAATAATTGCAAAGCATCCATGTGAATGGATGTGAATGCACTTAATTCATGTTTTCAGTTTTTTTAAAAACCATAACTTTCAAACCGTGCATCAAAATTAAGATTCATTGTCTCTGTTGGAACCCCGCGACGTGCTCTTTGAAACAAGATCCCGCATGGGTATGTTTCAATGAATTTTTTGTATGTGCAATTTTCTCTCCGTTTTGTGCAACTGCCTGATGTCTACTATGCAACTTTGTTCTTGTAGACATCTGTTGGGCCTCCAAGCGCAGAGTTTTGTAGGACAGTAGCAATTTTTCCTCAAGTGGATGACCTAAGGTTTATCAATCGGCGGGAGGTGTAGGATGAAGATGGTCTCTCTCAAACAACCCTGCAACCAAATAATAAAAAGTCTCTTGTGCCTCCAACACACCAAATACAATGATAATTTGTATAGGTGCGCTAGTTCGGCGAAGAGATGGTGATACAAGTCTAGTAATGATAGTAGATATTAATTTTTGTAATAGGAACAATAAAAAATAGCAAGGTAGCAAGTAACAGTGCTAATATAATTGGATCATATAACCATCCCTCAACGTACAACGAAGAA